TCCACACCGCTGTCGAACACCAACCCATGCGCGGCGTACACCTGGCTCCCCGACACGCGCAGCACAGCGCCCCCCGACGCAACCACGCGCGCACTCGCGTACAACGCATATTCGCCACCGAGCACAGCCGCGTCCAGCGCCACACCGCCACCGACAAGCTCCAGCACGGCGCCGTCCACCGCCACCGTCCGCCCACCAGTCACCACGGTCACGAGGGCCACGCCGGACACAACCAGCACGGACCGCACGAGCCGCAGGCCCGACAGCACCAGCACCGGTGCGTACGGCGAGGACTGCGAGCCAAGAAGATACACAAGCGGCGTCGACCTCGCGGCAACCAGCAGGGAGTCCGTCACCGTCAGCACAGACCCCGCGGGATATGTGCCGGTCAGCACAAGCGCACCGTTCAGCGCCTCCACATCGCACACCGACAGCTCCACCGGCCCGCTCTCGTCGCTCCCCGCCGCCACCGCACCGCGCAAGCCTCCTCCGCCCATCACGTACAACACGGCGCCGTTCAGCAGCGACACGTTCTGCACAACGATCCGAACGCCGTCCCGCGCCATCCACGGCACGTAGAGCACAGAACTCACGCCGTCCAGCACAACGCGGCGCAGCGTCACCTCGCTCGCGCCAGCAGGCACGACGAACACTGACCGCACCGTCACGCCCTCGCGGAAAAACACACTCGGCGCAGTGCCCACAGCGGGCGGCAGTGCGGGAGCTCCCACAGGCACGCACGCCTCGCCGTACCCGCCGCTGCCGCACGCGCACACGCACACACCGTTCCTCATGCTCACCGACGCCGTCCCGGGCGCGTAGCAGTGCGTGTCCCTGTCGCAGGCGTCGCACCCAACAACGTCGATGCTCCCAGCGTCGCCAAAACCAGCCGCTGCGTACTCCTCCGCCGTCGACAGGACACGTCCACCAGCGTCGTTGCACGCCACCCTCACATGCGCCCCAGCCGCAAGCAACAGGCTCAGCGACAGCATCCGAGGCAGCAGCGCTCGGTTGCGCACAAAGCTCAGCGTGCTCCCAGCAGCGGTCACGGCGCCAGCGGCGTAGAGCATCTCCCTCGAGACGCCGTCGTGCACGTTGCCCCTCGCGAGCAGCATCGACCCGCCGGCCAGACTCACCGTCGAATAAAATGTCACCGCGTAGTCCTCCGTCGACGAAAATTCGCTCCGCACAAGCGCCACAGCGGAGCCCGACACGCTCACAGCCCCACGCACAGACACCGCGTGCTTGCACAGCAGGAAGCCGCTGTCAACAAACGCCACCACGGAGCCGCCGCTGGCAGCAACACCGCCCTCCACCGACACGCACAGCCCCAGCGCCGTCTGCACCGACAGCCCGTCCACGTGCAGCGCACCGCGCGACGACAGCGCCACGCCGCCAACCACCAACACGCCAACAGCGTCGCGGAACACCGCCGCCACATGCGTGCGCGCAATGGTCAGCACGCTCCCCGTCAGATTCACGCTGTGCAACACGAGGCACGCGGAGGCGGCGCCAAGGTCGTAGGCGTCATGGTACGCAACGCGCTTCTCTGCGATCAGCACCGAGTCCACCACAGTGACGCGCGAGCCCGGCGGGTATCGGTTCGCCACCAGCGCACCGCCGCCAGAACGCGACTCAAGCCCGCTGATCAACACATCGGCACGCTCACCAGCAGGCGGGTCGGAACGCCACCCGACAACGTACAGGCTCGCTCCGCCCACAAACGTGCAGTTCGCCAGCGTCACGTTGCGCACGCTCCCTGACATCGACGCCACGTCCACCACGACGTCCGCCGCAAAGGTCACACCAACGTAGCACACCACCGACGTCCCGAAACCGACGTTCACCTCCACATCCACACGCACGTCCCGCACGCACAAGTCAGCGCCGTCGGTGCTCGGCGGCTCGGGGACAGCAACGGGCAGGCACGCATCACCGTGGCCGCCCTCAGCACACGCGCAGGCGCAGCCATCACTCGAGGCCGTCGCCGTGTACGCAAGGAAGCACGACGTCGCGAGGGCGCATGGATCGCTGCAGGCCAGAATGGTGGCATTGTACACGGACGGGATGGCGTAGTTCGCTTCCCCCTCGCCGTTCATGGTGTTGCACGCAGCCACAATCGCTCCGTTTGTGAGATCGCGGGACCCCGTGGATATCCGCAGAACTGTTGGCGTGACCCTGCTGGACATGAGTCGGTTGCCAGACACAGACACCGTGGAGTCGCGGAGATTCACCGTGGGGTCAAAAACAGTTAGGGCTTCCGATGGGGACATGTGGCAGAGGTTGCCGCTCACCTGCAGCCAGGAGTTGTAGTAGATGTAGGAGAATTCGCTTAAAAAAAACACAACCGAGCTTCCCTGCATGTCGTTGTCCTGAAACACAACCGCTGACCGAGACTCCACACGTAATGCCAAGGTTAGTAATAAAAAGTACCTCACCGGCCTCGTCACAAGATTGCCTCGAATCACCACGGCAGAGTTGTTCAGTACACTCAGCGATGAGGAGTGTCTAGACCCTTCAATATTTATCAGCGTACTGTCACCGCCAGCCATATGAAACGTGTTGCCCACCACCGCAAACACGGAGTGCCACGACACGCTCAGCGCAGACCTGACAACGTAAATGGCGATTGACGATGCCGTCACGCTCTGAAACACATTGCCACTCAGCACCACCGCGGAGTTGCTGCTGATCGCCAGTCCATTCATCGAAACGCACGACGGGCTGTCAATTTCCAATCCCGACCGAGGGATCAGCCTCGTGACAGTGAAGCGGTTCCAGCTGATCGTGATGTTCGTGCTCGGTGGGAACACACCCTCCGGGCTGAGCAGCGCGTCACTAAATGTGTTGCCGGTGACAACAATGTTCAGCGACCCCACAGCGGCGTACGCGTTGCCCAACAGCAACAGCACGGCGCCGTCCCTCCACGTGCATCCATCGAACGTGACATTCGCCACGTCGCCCGTCATCGCCCCAATCAACACCGTCAGGCTCATGCCGCCCCCGCTGAACGTCACGTTGCGGTAGCACAGCCACGACAGCCCGCCGCCCACAGCCTGCGCAACCTCGGGGTACACCATGTCGCTGATGCACTCACCAACCGGCGGTGGCAGCGGTGTGGGCGGCACTGGTGGCAGCGGCGGCGGTGGCGAGCCAGCAGGCACAGGCGCCGGGACACACACATCGCCGTGCCCTCCAGCAGCGCACTGGCACTTGCAGTCAATGGCCGCCGTCGTCAGCGGGGCAAAGCAGTCGCCCTCCTTCGTGCACTGCCCGCACGCGGCAACAGTCGTCACGTTGTTAATGCCGTTCAGCCCCAGTTCAGCCGCCGTCGTCACCTCACGTCCCGCAACCATCAGACACCCAGCAACGAAACGGTAACCGGCCTCAATCCGCTTCAGCAAGGATACCGACAACCCCGTCGAGCCCATCCTGCAGCCCGTCAGCGTCACAGCACTGCTGCCGTCAATGCTCACAAATGCGGACTCAGTGTCGTAGAACATCGCACCCACCTCCACGTCGTTGTCGCGCCAATCCAACCAGCTTGACTGTTGAACAGTCCACAAGTCATCGTTGCAGATGGCGTAGCGAGCTGAGCCGCTGTTCCCCACCACGCGCAGCACGCTGTAATCCGACACGCTGAATCCTTGGTGCTGGTACAGCAGGCTTACCCCAGAGAACATCGTATTGCTGAGCAGCGCAAAAACGGAGTGGTCACTCACACTGAGACTCTGCAAATAGAACACGTGTGTGTATCCCTCAAAGCTGCAGTACCGCGCGTACAGCGAGCTGCCACCCACCAGCTTGATTGCCACTGTCGAGTACAAACCAAAAGCACCGTACCTCGTTGCATGCGCTTTGACGTTGCTGACCAACAGCGTCGACGCACTCAAAACAACATTCCGCAACATCACCACGCTCAGCATGTTGTTCACAGTGTCCAAAAACTGAACTGTAGAGGACTGTACCGCATCAACCTCCGTGATGGCGATGTCGCAGTGCTGCGGGAGGGCATGTATAAATGCAACGGCGGAGGACCGCATCACCGTCTGGCTCACGCGGATCAGGACGCCGGATGACTCGGCCGCCTCAACACCCCCAACAAACTGCAGCGCGGCACCCTCACGAAATGTGCACCCGGTGAGCGTGATGTTGATGGGGAGATGCAGCGGCATGCTGTTGAGGAAGAACGTCAGCACAGAACGCCTGCCGCTGAATGTCACACCCACGTAGCAGTGGTGCGTCTTCCACATCTTCAGCGTGAGGTTCGTCAGCGTCTGGTTCACCACGCAGCTCGTGTCGCCGTCAACAGCTCTCTCCGCTACGGGCGGCACAACCGCGTCGGGCACCTCGAAGGGAAGACACGACGCGCCATGCCATCCGTCCTTGCAGCTGCACGAGCACGAGCTGCGGTCCACCGACTCCGTCCCGGGCATGTAGCACGCCGCGTCGT